ACCCCACAAAAAGAAGCTGCAACAGCAAAAATATGAGCTTTACAAAAAACTCATGAAAACATAAGTTGCCCTGGAGGCAAAAAGCAGCAGTCAACGGAGTGATTATTGCAGAGGGAAAGAGAGAGAGAGAATGTGTGCGCCTTAGTAATATTAATTAATAACAGCTTTTACTCATTTTTCTAATTCTCTTTCTTAGGAAGAGGCTCCAATCAATTTGTATTTATTGATGAAAAACTTTTGTTTTTTTGGGGGGGGACACTGTGTGCAATTGGCTGTCGCGGTCTGCTCACACAACACACAGTCACTACACTTTATAGTATCTTCTGTGAAGTGCTTTGAGGCGCCTCAATGACGTGATAAGGCGCTGTATCAACTGGCAAGATTATTATGGAGAAACCATGCCAACTCCCTGCCTTTCGGCCTTCCCAACTCCTCCCTCCATAGGGAGATCATCCAGAACGCTGCATTCCGTGTCCTATCCTGTACTAGGCTCCGTGACCCTATCAACCCCATCCTCACCAGACTCCACTGGCTTCCCATCACAGAGGATACAGTTCAAGATCCTGGTCCTCATTTTCAAAGCCCACCATGGTCTTGCCTCTGTGATCTCTTAACCCCCTACCAACCTGCTCGCTCCCTCCGCTCAGCGGGCTCCAGCCTGCTTCACGTCCCCCGCCTCGCCCACCCCCACCCCCACCCCGACACAGTTACATTGAGACATTTGGATTTCCTATGTGCTCAATATTACTGCCTATTACTGTATATGATAACACTGTGTGTGATTGGCTATTGCTGTATATTATCTAATAACACACTGTGTGTGACTGGCTATAGCTGTATATTATATAATAACACACTGTGTGTGACTGGCTATAGCTGTATATTATATCTATGTGTATATTATATCACTGGGTATCAGCTCTCTAGTGACTTCATAGGCCGAGTGCATATGGAAGGAGATGAATGAAGATTATCAGCCTTGGGATGAGTGGGTTACCTGGCTGGAGTTGGACACTGAGGCACACGGTATATACTATATGATACACTATATACAATACCATGGGGACGGGCAACACAGACTGACCTCGTCTCTGCCATCTGACATAAGACTCCTTTTCAGCCTCATCCTCAGCAGAATTGCTTCCTGTCGGAAGTAATAAACATTGTTCCAAAAACCTGTGCTTCAATGGAAACTGTTCCCCTTCCAATCCCCTCTCCTTCCTTTGTGTTTCTCACACTGATTTCGTCTTCCTCATGTCCCCCTGCCATCCCATTCTCATCCTTGGTCTCGCCTCCCGTCTCGCCCTTCGCCTCCCGTATTGCTCCATTATATACCCAGGACTTGCCATTGGGTTTGCCACCATGTGGGCAACTTTATTGCGCCCTAGAGGTGTCAGACACAGGGTTAGAGCAGAGTAAAACTCCATGTACACTGTAGTTACAATAATAAATAATAATAATAATCCTGGCATTTGATATAACGCTTTCATGTCTTCTCGACGTCTCAAAGCGCTTCACAGAATAGACTGTAAAGTGAATTGACTGTATATTTGTGGGCGGAACACGGCAGCCAATTGTGCACAGCAGCGTCCCCACAGACAGTCGTGGATTGAAAATGACCAATTTATTATTGTTTTNGGTTTTGGAGGGATTATTATTAGGGCTGTGTGTGGAGTAAGGAAACTTACTCAAGGTTTCGCCCTCTGCCGGGAATTGAACCCAGGTGTCTCGCTTGCAAGGCGAGTGCTCTAACCACTGATCTACAGGACTCCACGGTGTGTAAGGCGGGTAAGTATAAGGTTATGTGTGTGTAAGGTGGGTAAGTTCTTGTGTGTCTCTCTCATGTTGGGACAGTATCTCATGCTCCTCCATGTGTCTCTGGGATGATGTGGTGTGCTCAGGTGATGATATTGTTTCTCTCTTGCTCTGGTTTCTGTCTACCACTGCATCACCCTGAATTCCAGAATTCCACCCAGTTGGCCTGTTGGACCACTTGCCCATCACATTTCAAGACAGAGCCAAATGACCAACAACAACTTGCATTGATATAGTGCCCCTCATGCAGGGTAGTGTTCCCAGAGCGCTGATAGAAATTCCTCCAATCCTGCCTTAGTTCCAAAGCCGTTTTTCTGCTCTCCTTCAAAAAAATCTTCTAAATGAAGACAGACTGAGCCAGATGGAACATTTTATATTCTTGCTGATTATATATCTTTAAAGAGAATGGAGAAAACAGAGAAACCGCATTGAGCAGTTTCACAGCGCTGGCTGGGGTGGGGGGTGGAGGGGCTTCTGGGGGGTGATTTTTCACCTACCACGGTCAACGGGGATCTGATTTGTGAATAAAGCCTGTGCGGGCACTCCTGCACACGCCCCCTCCTCCACCCCATTCTCCTCCCACCACCCCCCACCCTTCGCACCCGGCTCTGAGCACACAGTGAGCCACGCTGGTGTTTACACACTGTCAGGGAGGGAGAGCGAGAGAGAGAGAGAGAGTAAAGGGCTGGAGCCGGACAGAGTGCTCTTTCTTCCCTTCTATGTTTGTGTAACATGAGCTGCTTGTATGGCCTCCGACTCTGGCCTCTACCTCTGCTCACTGACCACACCAAGCCTCACAGCTTGAGGTTAGAGACACAGTAAAGCTGCCTCTACACTGTGCATCACACTCCCAGGTCAGGGTTAGAGACAGAGTAAAGCTCCCTCTACACTGTGTGTCCACATTCCCAGGTCAGTCTAAGACACAGAGTAACACTCCCTCTATATACAAGAGAGAGTGTGGGGGGGGGGGGGGGGGGGGGTAAACAATAAAAATCTCATGATGTTGTTGGGGTCCTGACCTGAACCACCCACCACCCCCACCCAGATCACTGCTCTTTGAGTCATGTTGCTGTGTGCAAAAAATAGCTAGCACTTTCCCCGCAAAAAACAGTCACTACTGTGTGAGCGCTCCGAGACGCTATCCTGTGTGAATGGTGCTACATAAATACAAGTTGTTGTGGTGAGATGCTTTCAATTGTCTGGCGTATGAAGGAGCAGTTAAAAAGCTTCCTCTTGTTTGAGTGTGAGCCTGTGTCTGTATCTGGCTGCAGTGCAGTGTAAGCTGCCGAGATACAGGGTCAAATGTGCTTCCAATCAGTCACAAAGCCTCCATTGTGCTCCCACTGCGGGACTTCACACCGCACTCTGTCTGTCCATGCTTCTGTCTGCCTGACGTTCCTTTCGCCCCAACCTCAGCCCCAGTGCCTCGCCCCTCCCAGCATCACAGGGTACCATCTCCACCCCCCAAGGCTGTGCCACCAATGTGTGAATAGCACTCGAGTCAACTAATTTAATCCTCTCTACCCCGCTCGCTCTCCCTCTCCTGATTCCTCCCCCTTTCCCACTCACTTCGGTCGAAGAGGAGGGTCTTTGAGATGGGCCTTGAAGGAGGCAAGGGAATGAGTGAGGCCAAGGGACTGTGGGATGGGGTTCCAAAGGGTGTGGAGCAAGTCAGTGCCCGCTGAGATTACAGGACGACATACAGAGTTAGCAGGTTGCGGAGGTAGGGAGGAGTGAGGCCGTGGAGTAAACAAGAGCAGAGATAAGGAAGAGACAGTCTGAACCTAAGCCACTCACTGAGCACACGGGGCCAGCTGTGAGGTCAGAGTTTCAGGTGAGGAAACTCTCTCTCTCCCTGTGGTGGGATAAGGTTTCAGACAAACAATTTCTAATCGGGAAATGAAACCTCAGCACATCTGCTGGCGGGTTCCAGTCTGTGGGGACCCACACAGTGAAGCACTTCTCTTACAGCTCTGTGTCTGGCTGTACTGTTACTGTACTGTAGTGTAGAGACTGTACTGTACAGTCAGCAGGGCACAAGTCTTCTTCATCCTCCATGTTTACTGTAGGCAATAAATCTCCCGCTGCAGAGAAGCCAAAGCTCTCTCTGTGCACGAGTACACACTCTCCATCGTGTAAATCACAAAAGATGATTTACTGTGCGTTGTTACAATGGGGTGTCGCTGCTGTTCACATTCCATTCCCACGTGTAGGTGGGAGGTAATGCATGGAATTCTCAGCTTGGTTTGGAGACTTTTTAAGCACGGCGATTGGTTTCCGCCTCTGTCAGACACCCACCCGGCTGACCAAAACATAAACCCATCTCCCCTCCCCCTATGACAATCTGTAACTGTAACCTTCCCAACGGTGGTGAGGTGTGGGCCGCAGGTCAGAGTTCCATCCCACCCCCCCACCGCCTGCACTCGCCCTGGGGGAGAGAGAGAGATGGTCTCTTATTCGCATGTTACATTTACCACTGAAACAAAACCCAATGATCTGGTTGTAACAAGGAGGCTGGAGCTTCAGAGAGTTGAGGGAGAGCTGATAATGTCTGGGATGTCAAGAGGGGCCCAACTCAGAGAGAGAGGCTGGTCTAGACTGTGGTGGTGGTGGTTGGGGGTGGGGGGGGGCAGAAGGTTACACACACAGGTACGCGTGTACACACACCTTTACACAGATACACAGGCGCCTTTACACAAACACGACACGTACACTTATACAATAACAAATTGCATTGATATGGTGCCCTTCACGTTGAGAGGACGTTCCAAGGTGCCAGATAGACAAGGGTTGGCACCTGAGCTGGGGCTGGAGTAAAGAGAGGTGAAGGGCAGGGACTTACCTTCTTGCTGTGAATCTCGCAATTTCAACCAGGCCCAATTTTGTTTATTCCGAATCATTATTTCCTGAGTCTGTATCAACACGTGTGCCTATAGGCGTGTTTGTCTTTGTGTGTTGGCTGCACGTTTGTGTCTGTACAAGTGTTTGCATGTGTGTATGTGCATCTGTATGTTTAAGATCCTCGTCCTGACTTTAAAGCCCTCCACGGCCTCGCTCCTCCCTACCTCTGTGACCTGCTAACCCCATAACAAC